TTTTAATAGTTGGTGTAAAGTTCTATATTATTGCCTAATATTTTTATCAAACTCGCCTTAACAAGTCTCTTGGGATGGCTTTAGACAATGTAAAAAACCTTCTTTTTCATTAGCAAAAGGTCGTCAAAAATACTCTCCCTCTTTTTCTTCCAATTTCATTTTGGGATTCTCTTTGGCTGGTTTCAGTTCTTCATATATTGTCAATATTTCGGTTCCTCAATTTTGCCGATAACCATTACTAACAGGGACATCTTCTCCATTATGAAAAGCCTTGACTGGATCCACTTTAATCAGTGTGTGTTTAGGAAATCCCTTATAAACTCACTCTCTTTCTTGTTGTCCCTTAATCCTTTCCTTGTATCTCATCCAATAAGATTTACTAGCAAAAACTATAAATTCGCTCAGTATTGCTTCTATTTTCCAAAAACCGATTTTGCTGGGATGAATACAATCATCTGGGAAAGGAACTTTGCTAGTAATAGAATCAGTGTCGTAATAAAGAACATTATCTACCCCGATTTCATAAATTTTCTTTATTAAGGTTATTTTAGCATAACTAGTAATAGCACAAGCCACTGGACAATAATTAAAACCAAAGCCATCTTTTTCTTCCTTAGTTGCCAAAAAAAAATGTCTTACTTTGTTACCTTCTTTTTTAGTATACGTGGCTGGGGAAAAAAGTTTATCATCAAAAGCATTGATGCGTGGAGTAAAAACATGTTTCTCATGTAATCCTTTCTCATTATCATAGGGAGTAATTTCTATTCAAATGCCTTCCCGTAATAATTTTTTTTGCCCCATCTTGCCATAAAGAGTAGTTTGATTCAATTTATAATGTGAGTAGCGAAATTCAGCATCAATCCTTTCACGGCGAGAATGTGCCCTATTTTTATCCTCTTTGGCTTGCTGTTTGCCAATTTGGCACTCATCTATTCAAGCATCAAAAAGTCCTTTTTTGTTTCCAAAAGTATAAGCCTCCTCAATTACCATTTTATCGTAGGAATAATATTCCAAAATAAATTTTAAGTACTCACCAAAAAGAGTTTTTTCTAAATATTCAATATTTTGGGGGCAAAAAGTAGTTCCATCTTCTCTTTTTACCACCACAAAAGGTATTTTTTGACTATCGTAAGTTTTGGCTTTTAAGCCCCAAAATTTGACACAGAAAAAGCCAAAGGGAATATTATTGGGATCTTTATTTATTAAATCGTTTAATAGTGCCGGTTTAAGATGATGCTTAGCTCGACAATCACATCCTTCTAAAGTATATTCTTCGTATTTTTTAGTTTTTACCTTGCAAACTTTGTGGACTGCCTCCTCGTTAGTATAATGCTTCTCGGGCAAGAGAATTGGCATGGCCTCAGTTTTCATCACATGAGGATAAATGCTGTTCATGTCGGCTTTGACACTCCATCCGCGATAAATAGCTTGATTACCCATTCCAGAAAATCCTCCGAATAAACTAGGTTGGGTAAAATCATAGATTTTAGAATACCAAGGCTTGGCCAGATTAGGGAAGTGTTTCATAACTTCTGGATGCATTTTGCGAAATTTATAAAAAGCAGTGGAGCCTACAGAAACTTTGCCAACCAATTTATTGTATCCATCTTCTATTCCCTTTTTTTCTAAATCTTTACCACCGCGAATAAAATGCTCATTTAGTAGTCGTAAAATAATAAGACAGTCGTTAGCACAATATTTGACTAGTTCTGGTTTAGGAAGTTCGGCGAGATTGTCCCTTTTAATAAAAAAAACGCCTTTTCTTTTAATTTCTTCTTCTTCCTTGGTTAGGGTTAAGTCCGACAAACTTTGGCGAAAAATTAAACGACTATCTAGAAAGTGAACATTGTAATACTTATATTCGGTTATTTGAGTGGAATTTTTACCTGCTCCACCCTCATTTACCATATAAGGTAAAAGAAAATTAAGATCATATTTAGAACCATTGTGGGCGTATAAAGATCAACTTTTTTGCTTATTTTTTTCAGTTTTTAATAAATTTTCTTTTATTCACCGCATAAATTCACCGGCTCCTCCAAATCCGCATTTATAGGTGCCGTCAGAAAGAATAATAAACCAGCATATTACTTTTCTGCCAACGACTTCTAAATCAAAAACTCCTCAATTTTTCGTATATTTGGGGAAAGGCAAGAAATAACCTTTTATACGAGTGGCTAGTTCGGGGGTAATTGCTTTTATTCTCTGTATCGTTGCCATGATTATTTATTTTACTACAAAGTGCGAAAATAACTTCCGCTTTTTAAATCTGAACTTTTATTCATTCAATAATTCTCTGAACAATGGCGAAAATACTCAGTTAAATCTTTCTCATTCAATATAATTATAATTTTATCTATCACCGACTTTAATTCTTCATAAGTTCTGGGTTTATTCTTTTCTACATAGTGCCTAATGAGATTAAAACAATATTCAACTGGGTTCAATTGAGGAGCATAAGGGGGTAAGAAAACAACCTCAATATTTTTACTTTTCAATAGTTCTTTAATAGTTGACAATCCTAATTTGATACATGATTGTTTAGCCTTGTGAACTGGCAAGTTATCCATTATCAGATAATGTTTCTCGTTAGCAGGAAGTTTAAGAGTAGAAAGAAAAGTATGGAAGTTCTCGGTTTTCATTCCTCCTTGAATTAGTTCGTAATGGATTATTCCCTTACCCTTTATATTTTGGATACAAAGGATTAGAGTGTGATTTTCTCCTTTTTTACCTGGTTTTTGGGAGTTAACCCGTGAACTTGTAAGAACATAGCCATAACGGGGTGCTTCGTTCAGGTGGAAACTACACTCATCCAAGGCTAGAATGAATGGTTGGGATAAAGAGGAGATTATTCTTTTGAACTCTTCTGTTCTCTCTTTGTAATTTAATCTTTCGGTATAACTATAGGAAGTTTTCTTCCGAGTAATCCCAAGTATTTTTAGTGTTCTTGACACCGCAAATCGACTTATCCTTTGACCGGTTTTTTCAAAATAATAATCTGCCATTTCTTGTTGAGTTGAATGTTTAAGGTTATGAGCGATAGCAAGAATAAAAAAAACCGCATTATCTTCATTTTCATCGATTTTCATTTTGCGACCTCTTAACCACCCTTTGGGTTTGCCATCATCTTTTTTCCAATATCTTACTGTTCTTTTGCTTACTTCATAAAAATCAGCAATATTTGCTTGGGTATAACCTTTTTGTTTTAGATAATTTAGATGGTGTGGGTTTTGTTCCTTTATACATAATAATAAATTGCTTATAGAAAGATTTTATAGAAGTAATTATAGAAGTGTTTTATAAAATTATAAATATATGACAAGAGATATCAAAGCAATATTTAATAAATATTTAGACCAAGGCAACAATATAAAAGAAAAAGAAAAATTAACTTTGGCTAATTGATACGAACTAGAAGAAGCAGCCCAGGAAGTTAATAAGTTAAGTGGGAGTAATTATGAGGAGTGAAAAAAAATACTGGTCGTGGAAGACAATTCAATTGCCTAATGAGTGAGGTAGAAAATTATATCAAACAATTGGGAGGCAAAATATTAGCAGAGAGAGAGAGAGCAGAAAGAAGTGTCCTGGGTGTGAGAAGTTCACCCTTCATTTAGATAGTCCTCCCCCTTGTGA